CCCGCCGCAAAGGCTTCCCAGCACTTCTTCCTCACCCGGGGTTAGGATTTGTCACCTTCCTCATCTCGCCTGCTTCTCCGTCCCCACTGGGTTGGCTGGCCCCCAGGAAGAAGGCTGCTTAGTAATTTTCCCTTTTACCTGCACAGCCTCCATGGGAGTCCCCTGACAGATGCAGGCTTGGCCCTCCTCAACCCCGCTCTTTCCATCCACCCCTCGCTGGTGGCTCTGGATCTAGGAGACTGCATGCTGGGTGATGAAGGCATCAACCTTATCTGTGGGCTCCTGCCGCCTGACGGGGCCAAGTCCGGTAAGCACCAGGGGCTGTGGGCTGCAGGATGACCGGTGGAGCTTTCACACAGAGCAGATGCATGCAGCTGTAAATCCTCAGCCCTGGAGGACACAGGCTCTATAGTGAGGGCTGAGAAATTTCTTTCCCCAACTTAGGTAAAGCGGAAAAGCCAAGCAATAGAGGAGCGTTTCCCTCTGGCAGGCATGGTCTTTCTGCTATTGATCTGCTCTGATGACAGCTTGGAGCTCAGGGATCAACAGGGTGCTTCTGATTCATAATGGGAGCATTTGAAACCGGAGGAGGGGGCAGCTTGGACTTGGAATTTATTATTTTTGCATTTGCGTGTCAATAATGACCATACATAAATATACAGTGTGCCCCCACCCAAGCACTTGGCTTTGTTGTCAGTGCCTGGGAATTGTCCCTGCTTGTGGGTACGCTCTGTGCGTGTGCAGTTGGGTGGTCACAGCTTTAGCATCATGTCTCAGAACTTTACAGGGGATGATCTCCAGAGATGAGAGGCCAGCGGGTTAGTTAAGCTGAGAGCTGGCATGTGCTGAAGTAACACCACCCCTCTCTCCTGACTTTCAAACTGCTTTCTACCTCCTCTCTTCAGCATCTTCTTCTCGGTGTGTGCAGTGTCACTGATGCTGTCATCTCAACCCCTCCCAGGTGTGGGCTTCAGAACCTACTGTCCTTGCTACCCTCTTCCCAACCTGTCACCTCATGTCACCTCCTTCTGGACAGTCACCTCGCACAACCCTTACTTGTTTCCATTGTGTTTGCTATTTAGGGTAAGCGGGACGCCGTTTGGGAGAGCAGAGAAATGGGGCAGTCACAGCATGGGCACATGAAGGGACGCTGCTGAAGGCAGTGAAATACTTTACTGATCAGTGAAATGTGTGATGTCGGTTGTCAGAGCAAACCAAACCCTTTAACCTCGTTGGAGGACAGGGGACATGACTCAAAACTGTCCTAGATAGCTGAACTAGTCCCTCTGAAACTGTTTTGGTGACCCTAAAGCTCTGGTTCGGCTTCTCTCTCTCCTCCAGGCCTCAAAGAGCTAACGCTGAGCGCCAACCCAGGTGTCACAAGCAAAGGCTGGGGACGCCTAGCCATTGCAGTGGCTCACAGCTCCCAGCTCCGCGTACTGAACCTGGACTACAACCCCCTGGGTAAGCCTGGGGCACAGGGAGGAGGCGCAGGGGACACTGTGCCCTCTCGTCGTCTGTGTGATGCATGCTGGTGGGTGGCTGGGGACCGAGCCCTAGAAGGGCGGCAGAGCTTCACCAGTAGGTCATTGCTTGCATAGGTGCCTGCTGATCCCCAGCAGCGAGTTCACGCTGCCAGGCACCCTGGGCTGTAAGGAAAGCCGGCCTTGCCCCTCTGCTTGCGTGAGGTGGTCATGTGCCCTGCGGGGAGGTGCAGAAAGAAGGTGGTGCCTTGTCTGCTCTGCCACCTTTGTCATCACGCTTGATCGTCCATGTCTCCCCTCTTCCTGAAGCCCTGGGCACCAATGCTGGCTTGGCAATGTCCCCACACTCCCTCCTTCCTCTTCCTGGCAGAGCTGGGAGGAGGAGGAGGAGGAAGAAAGCCTGGCACTGGTTGCCATAGAAACCAACTCTCTCCAGTTTTGCTGCAAGGTGCTGAGGAGACCAGGCCATGCCTCCCTGAGCATTAGGAGGGTGTTCCCCTGCTCATCCCCTGTGGAAACAGAGCCTGCCTCCAGGCACTGTCTGTCTGACCCTCTCTGACCTTTCCTCTTGGGCAGGAAAGGCCCCAGGCTGTTACCTGACAGCAGCGTTTGGATTTTTTTCCAGGAGAAGGTGTCACAGTTGTAAGGTATCTTGGCTCTTGCCAGGGACTGTCAGGAGAATGCGCTGGAGTCTTGTCTCTTTACCAGCATCGATCTTTAATGCTCCTGGTCCTGCTGCACCACCCCCAAAAGTCTGCCCCCTTGCCGGGGGGGGCAATCTGTCAGCTGGTGCAGGGTCCCCTGTCCAGCGCCAACCTCCCCTTAGACAGAGGTATTCAGTTCCTTATTCTGCACCTGGAATGCCTTATAGGGACTGTTAAAGGCCCTCACAACCTTGCGTAGGAAGGAGATTTGGGAAGAGATGGTTCCTTGGGGAATAAACCCAATTTTAGTGTGTTCCTTCACGTTCCCCCTGATAAGCAGTGACTGCTCCCCTAAGTACAAAACGGTGCGCCTTTGCCTTGTCTGTTTTCTCCGTTAACAGCTGTTCCCCCCGCCTCCAAGGTAACTGAGATTTGGAAGTTGTCTGCTGGCAGAAATACACAGGGCATGTTTCCATGACAGCCCCAGGCCCGTGAGGGCACATGGTGTTACGTGAGGGAAGGCAGGCACTTGCTTGCCGTTGCTGTGGCCTCCAGTCGAACCCTCGAAGTTCTGGATTTGGAGGGAACAGGACTCACCAACCAGTCAGCCCAGGTATGAGAGCCTACAGTTACTCCACAGCATCACTGACATCTCAAGGGCGTAGGTCCTGGCTGTCTCTAGAGGTCCTAGGAGCTGTACCTGCCTCCATCCCTCCCTCCGAGTCCGCATGCCTTGCCGTTGCTGTGGCCTCCAGTCGAACCCTCGAAGTTCTGGATTTGGAGGGAACAGGACTCACCAACCAGTCAGCCCAGGTATGAGAGCCTACAGTTACTCCACAGCATCACTGACATCTCAAGGGCGTAGGTCCTGGCTGTCTCTAGAGGTCCTAGGAGCTGTACCTGCCTCCATCCCTCCCTCCGAGTCCGCATGCCCCCCTTCCCTCCCTGCACCCAGGGCCGCTGTTGCATTCGGCCGCAGGGGGAGCTCGTGAGCTGCAGCTCTGACCTCCCTCAAATCAGCAGGGAAAAACAGGCGGCTCTAGTTGTAGTTTGGTTTTCTTGGAAGTAAGGGGTTGGATTTGGGGTTGAGGATCGCAAACAGCTAAAGCTCCGTGGACAGATAGGGGCCAATGCTTGGTAGCGCAGGCTCTCCTCTCAGAGCCCCAGCTCCCATTGCTAAAAGGGGACCAGCCTGGATATGTGGGAGCAACTGGATGTAGAGCAGTCCCCTCCTCTTTAGACAGAGCCAGGAAATCCAGGCTCAGCTCTTCCCACAGAAAGATGGGAAGTCCTCAGGCTCTCAGAAAGCCTGTCAAAGGGAGGTCAAAGCCAGGGAAAGGCAGAGGTAAGAAGAGGAGGGCTGGAGTTTGCAGGGAGACAGAGCTTTGAACCTCTCTCTGTTCAGCCTAGCTGCTGTTTGTCAGCCTGTTTCCCTCTGTCTGCCCAGACCTTGCTGGACATGGTAGAGAATTACCCCACAGCCCTGCGGACACTCATCCTGGCAGAGAACAACATTAGTCCTGAGCTGCAGCAGCAGATCTCTGACCTGCTCTCGGAGGGTGAGGAAGAGGAGGAGACGGAGGCTCGCGAAGTCACAACCAGGGAGAAGAACCCCTGGATCTGCCAGAACAGTAAGAGCTCTGGGACCTCGACTGCAGGCAGGGGCTGACAGGGAGGAATTGGGGTGTTTCCGGAGTCACTGGTCTCTCTTGGAGGGGTTGGTGATCGGGATCTGTCCCTTCTCCCCGTGAACCGGAATCCAGGCTCCAGGCACAACCTTCACGTTAAATGGTGTTGGGCTGAGCTGTGCTTGGAAAGGCAGCCTCCAAGGACGATGCGGCTGCCGCAGAGTGGAAATGGCACCTCAGAGGCGTTTTCCCTGATGCTGCAGGAATGAAATCTTTGTGCAGAGTCTGAAAACTCAAGGGCAGGAGCGTTAAACATCTCAGGGGCCTTAGCCAGATATCCTAGCCAAAACTCATGTCATTCCTCACTGCTTCCAGAACCTTCTGCAATCCACACAGCAGCAGCTATTCCTGTCGCTGTCCCAAACGTGCGAGGGGTTAGCCAGGTGCCACAGCCTGTGGGTGCAGTGGCTTTTAACAGGAAAAAAAGGGATATTATGGAGGCAGCAGTAGCCTGTTGTGTATTGTATATCGTCACACCTACCTTGCGATCTGCTGCTTTGGGATTTTGGGGTTGGTTGGTTAGGGAATTTTTTACCTTTAGTTGTCCTTCCCCCCCCTTCCTAATTCTCCCATCAGGCTAGCAGCAAACAAGCACAACCACTCCCTGGGCCTCAAAACATCTGGATCCTCATTTATTAGAGCCATAAAAATCTGTAACTGACAGCTCGGGCCAAGATTTGGATCCAGTTTCCAGAAATCGATCCCTAAAACAGAGATCCCATGTAGCAGTTTGGAAGGCATAGGACTCTGGACCTGAAGTGCACAGGCACTAACAATCTCCCCGCTCACATCCAGGAAAAAAACACGGGTTTTTTCTATTTAAAAAGGCTTCTGGATGGGAAACTGGTACCCTGCTGGGTTTCTTACTTGCTGTGCGTGCCCATCCTCCCCGCAGCTGATTCTCTTGGCGTGGGGAAGTCGCAGTGTTCCTGGCTGGCGCTCTGTGCTGTCACAGAGCCAGCAAGCTGCCCTCACTTTCCCGAGTGAGGGCTGCACAAGCCCGCCATTCACGCCGTGCCGAAAGCCAGGATTTCCAGGCCTCTGCTGCCGTAAAATGGCTGCGTTCCCTGCGCTTGGGAAGGCAGTGCCACCACCCCGCGTGGGTTCGGTTGGCTTGCAGCCTGCCAGCCTGGCCCACCTGGACACCGTAGCTGACAAGGCAGGCGGCGAGCACAGATTTAAAGGGCTGGCCAGGGCTGGGTGAGGGTCAGCAGAACCAGCATCACCTGCCAGCGTACCTGGGGAGGGTTCAGAGCTGCTGTTCCTCTCTGCAGCCAAGATGGCAAACGCAGGTCCCCACTCTGGGCTCCTGCTGCTGTTATCTGCCTTCCTCCCTCCCTCCCCAAGCATTGATTCTGTTCTGCTGTGTGCCCAGAGCAGACCTAGTTACTGCTCAAATCTCCCAATCCTATCAGCAGCTTCCTTCCTACCCAATTCCTCATTCTCACCTCTGGATCTGGAGTACAGCCCCACCCTTGGGCAGCCCAACCGGCTCATGGTTTTCTCCCTCTCTCGCCGCAGATTCCAGCTCCCAGATGGTGCTGATGACGTCAGGCCTCGGTGACAGCCTCTTAGCAGAAACAGAAATGTAGCTGGGCTACCCTGCCTGCTTCTGCCCCGAGCACACCTTTTGCCCCCCCCCCCCCCGCCCTCCCCGGGGGGCTCCCCCAGCCGTCTCCTCACGCCTTTCACCTCCTGTTGATGCCTCCCTCGGCTCTCCGAGCACCAGAGCCTGGTCCCAGCGAATTCCTTCACGCGTCTCCATGTTGTCACGCGTCCCGTTGGCCGCTTGTGGTTGTCCGGTCGCTGCATGTGTAGCTCACGCTGCCCTGCCTTCCCCTCCCAACGCCCGGCCCCGAGAGGGCGCAGGCTGTATTTATTCAGATGCGTATAAGAGATGTTCTTTCTATCGCTGTCACTGCTGTCACCATGAGCGTTTGATGACGGTCACGGACGTGGCACCACGCGGGCGGCGCTACGCCGGGAGTGCCGGCAGAGGGGGGTAGGGGGCTGGCGGGCGGGCGCGCTCCCCTGCGCCCAGGAGAGGAGCTGGAGCCCCACTGCAGGGAGCTTGGCACCAGCCCGGCACCCGCTGGTGAAGGCTTCAGCCCGGGTCACTGCTCGGCAAGGAGCGTGGCCCAAGGCTCCGAGTAGGCTGGAAGGTTAAACTGTGGCAGCATCTGCCACTCGAGGGACCACAGAATAAAATAATGAATTATGGGTACAAAGAAACAAGAAACTCTTCCTGTGTTACGCTTTGCGTACACCTGGGTCCCTAACCTGGGAGGTGGGGGGCGTTCCATCACAGCCCTCTGACCTCTGCAGCACCACGGAAAGGAAGTGCTTCCAGACATCCTTGTCGGCATCCTACAGGAACTCCCTCTCTCTCATGTTTGGAGGGCTTCCTACCTGGGGTTGTCCAATCAACCTCAGTCCTCCCACCCCGCACAAAATACTGACACTAGAATTATAAAGCTCTTACAGACTCCAGGGAGGGGTATGCTACATCTTCCCATGGAACCGTTTCTGAAACAGAGAACTGATACTTTTGCGTGACTCCGAGAGCTGGGGCTGCAAGAAAACCCAACAAATATTAGAATCAGCTGCATCTCATCCTACTCCAAGATCAGCACGTGGAGGTCTTTGGCAAGACAGAGGTCAGAGGACAGTCACCAAAACACCTGAAAGGGGGTAGGCAGACATTTATGATTAACACCGGCTGCTTACAGCTCAGGCTTCAGTGCAGAGGTTCTGACAAGCCTGGCCTTCACAGCCTTTAAGGAAGGTGAAAATTGCCCACGTTGGTTTTCAGTGTTTCTCAAAGTTGCCTGGTTAAATAATCTGCCCTTCTAACCTGCTACTGGCTTCAGTCACGAGTGACACGAGCTGCTGTGAACAACGGATTCTGGTCTGCAGGCTCAGTCTGATCTTTGAGCTGACAGTCTACGTTCAGACCCAGTGCGAAGTTTCCAGACCTCACTCATCCCACACCTCGCACCTGGGACTGCGCCTCTCCTCCCACACAGATGACTCGATTTGCGCAAACACCTCGACCCAGGCCGTTGCCAAAGTGGGCACTGAGGGTGACCAGTGAATTCACAGCTGCCTGGAAAGCTTACAGGTCACAGGATCGTTCTCCCTGGGAGAGATAATGGGCAGCATTTCAGCAAACCTGGGACATTGCACCATGGCTCTGCTCCCTCATGTGCTCAGGATCGGTCTGGTTCAGGCCTACTCCAGCTGAGACAGCACTGTAGTCACCGCCACCTACTTTTAAAATAGTTTATTTCTGGTCTTAAAATATACATCAGTTTGAAAATTTCAGAAAAAAACCCACATTAGTTACAGATTAACAGTCTGGAGTTGGGACACTGAAAGTGGGGTCAGTTCAAGGCCCCAGAGCCAATACTGCTGGAGGTGAGCAGGAGTGCAGAGGGCAGGCACCGTGCCCACTGGGAGAAGGCTCTGCTCCTCGAGGCCACTGCTCCCCCTCACCCCCTGCCAGCAGCCTAATTCTGCTCAGCAAAAGTGTCTGGTGAGGCACTGGGCACCCCTCTGCTTCTCTCCTGTTTTAAGTCTAACCCAACCAAAAGCAGGGGGAGGCTGGCTCTGCCCAGCACCATCAACTGCTCCAGCAAGAGTGGGTTTTGTCCCCTGACCAGTAGGCCAGGATTCAGGGACCATGGGGCTCAGTCCTGAGGGGCAATGCCTCCCCCACTGCCCAAGTGGCTGTGCTGTCCCACAGGCAGGCCACCAGCAGCCTCGGAGCCAGAGGAGCTCGCTCTGTGAGCATCCACGGCCGTCGGTGAGGAAGGGGCGGCCAGCCACTGCAGGTGCAAGCTCTCTGCAAGGCTGCAGAGGAACAGAAGAGATGCGGCAGTGGAGTGGCTGATGAGAGCAAGCACAAGGACCACCCGCCCCACATTAAGGACCCCACAGGCTCAGAGGAGGCTCCTGCTCTCAGCACCAGCCTGTTTGCACAGGCACCAAGCAAAATACTGTAGTGAAATACTGAGTCCCACCTCCATGCCCGAGGGTGGCATCCAGCCCCACAACCGTCAAGAGGCATGCAGGGAGGTGAGCGTGCAGGCAGCAGCTCTGGCCGGGGCACACCAGCCAGCCCACGCAGCCACCAGAGTGGCCTGCAGCTCCCTTTCACAGGCCCTGGAGCCTCCGGGCTCGAGCTGAAGCCCTGGCTGGCCCCAGCTGCAAGCTGCGGGCCCTTTGCAGGGACAAGGGTTTGGGGAGGGGAGCAGCTCTTGGCTGCACACCTTGCTGTAAGTGTATGAATGGGAGCTCCCTCCTGGACAGAGGGCTGCTCTCCTGCAGCCCAGCGAAAAGCCCTCGTTGAGTAGGGCAGAGGACAAGACAAACCCAACTCAAAAAACACAGAGAGCAAGCTGAGGACAGCTGGCAGGGGTGTGAGAGGGGACAGCCCATGGAACCAGGCTGTTCTCTGCCTCGCACCCCTGGGGGAGCCAAGAAAACACCAGACAGACGAGGGCACAGGACAAAATTAAAACAGGACACCTAGGCTTTGTCAGCCCTCAAAAAAATACCTACATCTACAGACCTCTCCCCTTCCCTCCCTCCCCCCAACAAGACACCAAGCACACAAGACTGAAGAAGAGTCACACCGGTATCACACTACACTAGGAGAAACACGCAGAGAGGCCCTGCCCAGAAGGGGAGGCCCGGGAGAGGCACCAGGGCCAGCCTGGAGGCCCCCCGGAGAAGGGGAAGTGCGAGGAGACCCTGGCAAAGGGTTGCTGCCGAGGCGTGAGGTAGTGCGTCTGCAGGGAGCAGCTCCTCAGCACGCTGCTCTCACACCCCCGCCAGCCCTACACCCGGTCCTGCCTAGAAAAGCCCAAGTAGAGTCCTTCACGCCTTGTTCGCCCGGGGCAACACCTTGTTCTCGAGTCTGGAGGGGTTTCCACAGGCTGGAGGCCAGGATCAGAGGGAAGCGCAGCTCCGGGAGTTGAGCCTCCTCAACACACCCTCAATGCAGGCATCGGACCCGCTGCCAACGGCGGTGTCTGTTTATGCAGGGCGGGGAGAAAGAAAAAACAATACACCCCAAAACCAAAGGCTTGGAAAGAAGAAAGAAGCCCACCCAAGAGCAAAGCATCAGCACCGTTCAAACAAAACAACGGCACAGAGAGCGGGGGAAGAGGTGTGAGGGAGGAGACACACAAACAAACCCCAGTGCCTAGCAGGCAGTGCCTCCCCGAACCGCCCCGGCAGACAGCACCTGTGCCCCACGCCACAGCGCCAGCACCCGTGCGTCGCCTCAGCGGGGGCCAGGGGCTGAGCCCGACGCAGGAGCCAAGCGACAGGGACCTGCAGAGGCAGGTTCGGGAGAACCAGCCAGAGGGTAGCAGAGGAAAATAAAACTCAGCCGGAAAACGAGACACCAGCAATCCCAGCAAATCCCCAAGGGCCACAGCCATCCGCTGGGAGAGTCCTCGTGCCCCACTCACCGCCCCTGCGGGCTCCAGGGAATCAGACGCCACCACACGGGCACTGCCCTGTTGGCACAAGTTAAAAGGGAGCTGAGCGGCTGCGGGCAACCAGCATGAGAGCACCCAGGGCCTCAGGTACCTGAGTGGGAAGGGGGAAGGAAGATGTGAGCATAAAGAGGCACAGGCACCAGGACGAGGGGTACCAAGAACGAGCTCCGGTAGAGGCACCAGTGTGAGGCTGTGAAGAGAGCTGCGAGTGTGCCAGGGCAGTGCGTGTGCTAGTGCTGCGGGCCTGAGGCGGTGGGGAAGGGGGAACCTCAGCTCTTCCAGGTAGCAAAAGACGAGAATAAATAGAAAATTTCAGAGCAGAGCCCCCCCAGGAGGGGGGTACAGAGGGAAGTCTCTCTCTCACAAGGTGGACTGGTGGAGGCAGCCCACAGGTCTGCAGCGTGCAGCTGCTTCTTGTCCTGCCTCAGCTGAGAAGGTTACCCTGCTCCTGGGCTTGTGTCAGGCTGTCCTTGCGATGCAAGTGGTGAACCCCCATCCTCTTGGGGCTGCGGTGTGGCCGACTCAAGGGAGGCTTCACCCTGCCTTCTCCACTTTCCTCTTGGGCACCTCCTTGGGCGTTCTCCTTGCTTCCCTGGAGCAACCTCTCTCTCTCATCAGCTGGACTCTCAGGCAAGCCAAGATCCACATAGTCCTTGTGCTTCTCTGGTGAGGGGCTTCCAGGCTCAGCAGTGCCTCCACCACTTCCCTGCAACAGCTTCTGGGCTTCATCCTGGGAGAAATCTGTACCATAGTCTGAGGAGAAATGGCTCCTGCGGGCTCTGGACTCAGTGCTGTCTGTGTCCACGCTCGAGTCCCGGCTCACGGTCCAGCTGCAGCTCTGCGCAGACTCCTCACCATCCGAGTAAGCCGAGGCTGCCCTACCCAGCTCCTGCATGGAGCGGCTGAATCTCTTCTGGAGCTCAGGGGCCGTGTCATGGCTGAAGGCCGTGCGGTTCATCAGCACCCGCTCCGAGGTGGGGGGTGCCTTGTCCACAAACATACGCTGCCAGTTGGCCAACAGGTCCTCCTCAGAGCTGGCCGAGCTGGCGAAGGCGCTCGGGATTTGGGGAGGGCTGCTGAACGGGCTGCTCTGGGAAGAGCCGTGAGCCCTGGCTGCTTTGGGGGACTGCTGACAGGAACAGCTAGAGGCTGAACGGCGCCCCTCTGAAGCGGGGCTGTTGGGGAGCGTCCGGTGCCTGTCGCAGCTCTCATCTTCGCTCTGTACCAGGCTGAGGGAGATGGCCTGGCGTGTAGCATACGTACAGTTGGGCAGAGGGCTGTTTTTTGGGATCCTTACCTTGTCCTCAGAGAACTCGATCACTTTGCGCCCAGGGTACATAGGATGGGGAGGTGAGGGTGTAGGATATGGGCTTAGCTTCTCAAAGGCGGGCACCTCCTCTGGCACACTTTCCACGCTGCTCTGTGGCTTGCAGCCACCATTCTGCTGTTTCCCCGCATCTCCTCCCTCCTTCCCCATCTGCCCTGTGCTGTTGCAGGCATCAGGAGGGGCTCCACTCATGTCCACGTGCACAAAGACGTCCTCAGCCATGGGACAGCTGCCACTGCTAGACTTGGCTGAATTCAGAACCAGAGATTCCGGTTTCTCCAAGACCCTGGCAATGACTGAGGTGGGCACAACGTCAGACGGAGCCAAGGTGTGGGTTGCTTCTTGACCGGGGCCTGAGGACTCTTGAGTGCTGTGCAAATGCTTATTAACCATGTCCTGCAGCTCATAGGGAAGCTAGAGAGAAGGAAAAGGACATTAGAAGGGGGTTGCCATGCAAGCCATTAAGTTCCAAATAATCTGCCTGTTCCAACCAACCTGGACACGTACTTTGTACTCCTTGTCTCGACGCCAACTTGCACATACCTTGCCTTGGGGAAAGTGTCTCTTTCAAAGCAAACCTGACCCAAGTGAGGGACTAAGGGCTCTCTAGCTATCACACCAGTCTAGGCCATGCTTCACAGGCCCCTTTTTGCAAAGGGAACAAGACAAGACAGCACAGGGGCTGTTCCCCACGCCTGCGAGCACAGGGACGAGGTCCAGCCAGCGCATGCTAGGAAGCGGCCTATTGATCTGTGGAAAATCAGCCGGTTGTTGCACTGAAGTGACTCAACAGCCCCCAGAGCTGGGATCTGCAGTGCTCCCCCCATTGTGGTAATTCCAGCCACGCCGCCTTGGCAGCCTGCCTGCAGACCAGAATCAATGCTTTCCCTTATTCCCACCACTTCATCCCATTTCCTGACTCTCTCCATTTCAAAGAGGCAAACGTGGGGTTTATTACCAAAGCTGCAGGCCTGGGGTCTCAGCAGAGGGTAAGCACTGCCCCTTGTCCTGCAGACGGGTGCTACTGCTCTCCCCATCCCCCTGCCAAGCTGCAGTGGAGAGCAGTGCTCCACAAGCCACAGCAAGGTCTGTCCCATCACAGCCAGAAGGAGACTGTGTCCAAAGCCGGGGACGCAGGGCACGCTGAACGACAACAGCTGGCTGCGAGGCCGACTGCACAGCTGCTCAGCACTAACCCCCCTCCAGTGGCAGCCACGTGTGCTGCGGCGTTCTGGGGGGCCGAATTCAGAGCTCCAGGGAGGGGTGACAGCTGGGAGAGAGGTCAAGGTTGCCCCAGCAGTAACTGATACACTGACCTCAAGAGTGCTAATTTGAGAGACAGTGGGGGAGGGGGGACATATTGGTCACCTGCTAAGTTAAAAAAGACAAGCATATGGTTTTGCTGAGAGGAACGTAAGAAGGGATGGAGACCAGGCATGCACAGAGAGCGCTGGGTGAGGGCCTGAATGACACTGCCAGCCGAAGAAGTGATGCTACTAACATGAAAGGCCTAAACTCCACCTTTGCTCATCCCGAGGGCAAGACGAGCTAAACAGACCCCACAAGGAGGAGTATGCGTCGGTACCGACTTCATCCATTCAAGAGGTCTAAAAGACACCCTGAAAGCTGCCTCCCACATTCCTCCTCAGAGTAAGAAGTGAAGCAGCACCAGACTACTTCTGCTTGACTCCTTATCAGGCAGCGTGGTCCTTCCATGTGGCCAGGTGAGGAAGGGAAAAGGACAAAGGAGGGTAAGAGAGAGGTCTGTCCTCCTGCCAGCTCCCATCAGGCACCCAGCATGCTATCAAATTCAAGGTTATTGTTCTTTTTATAACAGCTCCTGGCTGAGCTGTGAAATGGAGCTGGCACAAAAGAGGAGCTGGCGGAGGTTCTGTGCTGCCTTCTCAGTGGGAGTGGGAACAGGAGCACCCCCACACCTCTGGCTGAGACCGGAGTCCTGCAGAGAAGGCTGAAGAAAGCAAGATGCAGGCGGAGGCCATGAGCCCTTCTTCCCCACCTCGGCAGGACTGCTACTCACGTCAGCAAACTTGTGGTTCCTGAAGTGGGACTTGTTACACTTGAGCAGCTGTACTGCCAGGTTACAGTCCTGCCGATAGCGTTCCTGCAAGGAAGGGCATAGGTGTGCAACACTGTTAGACTGGCATGATGTCTTACCCAAAAAGGCACCTCCCGACCAGATGCTGCTTGAACAGAAGCAGGAGGAAGCATCTGGTGAATCGCTCATGAGGGTACCTGCCATTCCCCCCTCTCCACACCCATGTTATTTTCTTATAACTCAGAGAAGGTATCCCTTTCGACTCCAGCCCTTGCTCCAGGCATACACTCTTGCCAGTGTAACAACCCCTTCTCCATGGGGATTTTAATAATCTCCAAAAGTCCCACCAGATTTGCTGTCCTGTCCCAGAGATCTCGGCCATGCCTGGACACTGCCTGACATCAGGCCTCTTGCAGACAGACAGACTGGAGGGGGTTGAGAGCAGTTAACAGAAACAAGCACTGGATCCAGGAACTTGTATGGCAGAGAAAAGGCATCCGCCCCCTCCCAGCTCTAGAGTAAGGGACCCCTCCCCGTTGGTACAGCCTGGACTCAGGTCAAACCCTAAGCCTAAGCAAATACATCAAACTTGAAGATCAGTTTTTCCTTGCCTAACCCCTCAGACCCTTTTCTGTTTGTCTGTCCCTATTATTGTGTGAAGCTCACACTTTCATATACACTGAAGTCATTCACACGCTCCTTTACACTAATGACACTGGACAAGGGGAAGAGCCCACACCTCACACATTTCCACGGCCATTTGCAGACTGGCACTTACATTGAGTTCCTCCAGCTTATTGATGGTGGTTTTGGCATCAAGCAATTTGTTAGTGAGCTCTACGATCTCCCAGTCCAGCGTCTTGCGGTCCATCTCTGCCTTTTTAATCTGGGATGCAAGAATATCAGGTGTAAATCTCCCCAGCTCAGAAGAACCTGGCTTCACCACCCACCTCAGCCCAAGCATAGCACAAGGACACGTTCAGCTCAGATACAAAAACTTCCAGACAGACAGACAGACAGACAAGGGGGACAGCCTGTCTTCTTTACCAAAAGAGGGACCCAAAAGGCCAAAGCGATCCAGCTGTTCTGCTGGTTACAGAGACAAGCTGAGTCTGAACCTTCTCAACGAAGCGTCTCCTCTTGCAGCACGTTTCCTCCCTGCCCTGGTTCACAAGGCGGTTTTGAGCAGTCAATCCTGCCTGCTGGCAGCAGAGATCTCTAAGCTTGTGATACCCAGCCCTCTTCTCTGGGCCTCAGAAGGAGAATACATCCCATAAAGATCCAGCAGTCAATGCTGAATGGACAAAAGGTTTGTTTGGCAGGGAGAGGGCACCATCTTGAAAGAGCTTAAGACTTGCTCTAGTAGGAAAAAAGGACCTGTGTACCTTCATCTAGAGCTCAGTTAATGCTCTCCCTAAAGCAGGCAATCTTGCCTCTTTAGGCTCCCTAACAGGTCAGATAGAGGGCCAGTAGAGACCCAGAGGTAACAGCAGAGAGTGGCAACAGCTCAGAACGATCGAGCCATCCGCTCTCGAGAAGTTCTCCCAACATTGCCCGAAGGCGCTCTGAGGCTGCGACCACCAGGGCCCAGCTGCGCACTGGGGTACAGCACAGCAGCGCACATGGGGGTAGGGACAACGCTTCACGTATCTGCAGTCTCTTTGGGCACCGGCACCATGAATATTAACCCGAGAAATTCAAGTGCTAGAACCAAAACCATCTCATCCTGGACTACATGGAGGCAATCGGCATCTCAGCTGTTCCACTTGCCTGCTGACAGCCCAGAAGGGGAAGGGAAGGGAGCAAACGAGGCTCACAGCCATCCACATCGTGTGCAGTGCCACAGCTTACGGGCACCGCTTCCCAGCACGCCATGCTCCAGCTGGCTCAGCGTCAAGCGCTCTCAAGCTGGAGCACTGCAAGCTAGGACCTGCTGCATCTGCGGGCAGCTGCTGGATACCAGGTGAGCCCTTGGCTGGACCAGGGCTGGGGCCCCTCCGTCTGGGATGGTGTATGTGGGACTGACAATGAGACCAACAGGCTGAGACACGTAAAGAGGAAAAAGAAAAAACACACAAACGAAAAGACGCAACTGCAAAAATCCAGCTTTGGCTGAGAGAGGCCTGAGAGGTGAGTGCACCCGGCGTGTGCCAGCGGCAGCGTGGGGAGGAGAGAGAGAGAGGGGGGGGAGGGAGAGAAAAGAAACAGCCATGAGTGTTATGAATGCACACCACAGACATACACGCACATTGGCTCTGCTCTGACTGTCCCCGCCCTCCCAGGATGACCACCCCAAGACTGGCTGACACAACCCTGGCATTCTGAGAGGGACTGAAGCAACATGACGGAATACCATGCAATTATGTTGTGGGGAACCAAAGCTCACGTGCATGACCAAATAAAAGCTCAGTAAATCAAGAAACCAGTTCACGACACCAGCCGGAATGGGGGGTAGACTGTCATGGCCAGAATGCCACCCCTCACCCACTGCCACATCTGCTGGGTAAAGCCAGGGCCCCTTCCCCAGTCTGCTCCTAACACACAGGTCTCTTCCACCCTCTCCCTGTAGTGACTTACTAGGGCACTTACCAGGGCATGCAACTTCTCCTCCAGGTCTTGGTTGGTTCTCTGGGAAGCAGTGTAGCTGTTCTGCAACCTACAGAAACAAAATATACATGGGAATGGATCTCGGACACCTACTCAAGTTCCCTTCATAGCTTCCAAGCAAACCACCAAGTCCACAGCTCTGAAAAGACTGGTATCCACAGTACTAAGACAACCAGGCATATTAAGTATGCCTCACCTCTGCCACATAATGGCCTTCAGACTCCAAGGTACTAGAGGCAAGATGAGGTTGGCTGGGTGAAAGGATCTTGCAGGGGAGGGCGTGAATGACTCTGAAGGACTCTTCTGAGCTATGTCACGTATAAGCGTGTGACCGGTGACTGGCACTGATGCTTAACTGAGGTACTTTACTTTCACTGAGGTAAAGTGGTGATGTATATTCTTAGGGCCATCAGCGGCTCCTTTCGCACATGTTGGGTAACCATCCAAGCTGGATCCTGCCTTACATCCAATAAATGAAGAATTTCATGTTCTTGTCAGCCCCTCGAGCTGGCAGTGTTCCTATATGGTAATCCTGGAGGAAGTAATGGCTGCAGAGCTTTTAACACCCCTACGGTCGGAGGGTGCAGCATGTTTTTGATTTACACACCAGGGCACAGCCTGCTGACACCAGCCGAGGGAATCCTGGGTTGGAGGGATCTCTCTAGCTCCATTCCACTCTTTTCCATACCTACGGAATTTGTCCTTGAATTTCTCCAGCTCCTCACGGTTCTGGCCCAGCTCCATCTCCAGGTAGTCTTGCCCTGACTCCAACTCCCTCTCCATCGCCTCCATTTTGTTAGTCACGTATGTCAGCCGTCGGCGCAGCTCCTCATTCTCATGCTGCAGTAGCCTGGGGCACACAGGAACAAGGTACCACTGAGTGCACAAGGGGTACCCCACACCAGCACCCCCACCCCCCTGCCTTGCTCTAGGGCCCAAGGCCCCACGATGTTGGGAAGTGAACTGTCAGGAGACTCCAGCACACGCAGCAAGAGGTGCAGCTCTGTCAGGAGAGGGAGACTCAAACTCTCCTGGAGCAGGGGCAAAGAAGCGCAGGCCAGCTGGCCAGCCGTGGCTCCCGGCTCCCTCTCAGGTTACCGTGCTCGGATAAAGCCCACTAGCCAGATGAGCTGCACAGCTCCGGTGTCACTCACTGGTGAATGAAACCCCCTCAATAATTTATGCCAGTCCAGGTTAGAAGAGTTGAAGCAAAAAGAGGAAAGTAATTTTCTCCTCCCCTGAAACTGTCCAAAAGCCCTCACACCTTCAATACACAGTGGAAAGAGGACTCCACACAGCCTTAAGCCTAGAAGCAGAGGTGGTGGGGTGCGTGTACAGATGTGATCACAGCTGCCAGTCAACCCCCATTCCAACACAAACTGCTCTGTTCCTTCCCAGCCAGGACATGCCTGGTGGTCAGAAGGATTTCCTGTTGTTTTTCATTCCTTTGTGCTCAGTTGCCCAGAGAAACCCAGAAGCACGGCTTCTCTCTGGCAGCGCAAGCCTGCTCCTCACTACGGCTCAGAGCTCAGCGCTAGCAGCTGCCTGTGCCCCACGCCACCAAAGGGCTCGGCTCTCACCCTGAGTCAGCAGCAGAGCTCTGCATACTGCTTACAGTGGCTTATACCAAAACAGTGGCAACAACCAGAAGGGTTAAAAAGGCACTCCTCTCACCACCTTCATTAAAGGCTTCATCTCCTACTTTATTTCACACCCACCAACTCCTCTGCCTGCACTTGCACTATGTTCCCTCCCCATCCAGGGGGAGACACATGCAAGGCAGAGGTTTGCAAGGCACAGACTAAAGCTCTGTCCACATGGCCCCAAGAAGACTGAAGATCTGAGAGGAGCCTGCAGGGCTAGTCAGCTTTGCTGTGCAGGTGGCACAGGCAGGATGTGAGGAATCAGCACCCACACAGTTGCAGTATGACAGGCATAAATGGGGAGCAAGACACTTACTTCATTCTTTCTGCATCCGTCAAGGGTTCCTGCACAGGGAAGAAAACAGCTGTGAGATTCTTTCAGAGTAGTTGGTCTCACACTGTCCTAATGGGCAGAGTCTTAGTTGCTAGACCCTACCTGTGACTCTTCCTCAGCGGCTCTGACAGGTCATGCCAGGCCAGCTTAGAGCTGCTAGGTTCTGTACACACTGCTCAGCTGTCTGATACCACCACAGACTCTGTGTTCTGGTTCAGGGCTGAAGAGCTAGGCTAGAAACCACCACACAAGTTAGGTAACTTTACCACAGTGCAATTTCTGCATCTCTTGCAACATCGTCACTTTAGCTGGTCTTTCAGCTTCCTCCACATCCACAGTCAGTGGGTAGCAGGAATCTCACAGGTCAGCATACACCAAGGATTAAACTGTCACCACAGCAATCACAACATTCTTGAAGCCCCACAAAAAGAATGAGACAGAATCATTTGGGAGCTGAAAAATGCATCTACCGTTTACACCACCCAGACTGTGCTGTGAAAAGGGTTTCTTTCTGCAGACCTGAAACCAGTCACTGTAACTATTCTGGAATAGCAGAAGAAACACCATAGGTCAGAAAAACCTGTGAAATAAATTAACATTCTGGGTGTTGATGGCCAGAGCAGGGACCTGCAGAACAAGGAGACACAGCAGAGTGAGAAGAGCACATGGCTCAGCTACTCTCACCTCCTTTACACTCTCTGTATTAACCCGTGAGATAGCTGCTGCCTGCCTGCCAGCACAGCTGAGAGAGATTTAATTGGCACTAGTAGCAATCGTATTTTCTGTGAAAGCCCAAGACTGTGACCCTTCTCTCAAAGTCCAAGCTGCCCACGGATTATTTATGGTGCTTGGAAGCAACAGCACTGCACAAACCCAAAGTGCTGCCACACTTTAGACTGTCCATTATGTGTCTCAGCCAGCTCTGGGCTGAGAGGCCATGCCACAGACAGCTGTGGATGAGGCTGTTGAGCTGCTAGCAATATTACAGAAGGCAAACCACCCTAGTCCTGGCCCTAAGACATCAGGGGGCTTCTTTCTTCATCAGTTCACCCTTTAAAACAATGGTCCTCACCACCTGCACACATCCTCCTGTCCTGATAGCAAAGAAAGCGTCAATCCATTCTTTCCTTACATCCCGACCCCACGTGGCAGTCATTTAATTCATGCAGAATTATCTAGCAACTGCCTCCCCTACACCAACAGCCAACAACCAGGCAAAGGGGATAATGTGATTCCTATTAAAACAAGGCAATGGCCCCAAAGCAGGCTGGAGAAAAGAGACGGCTTACAAAGACCTGAAACAGCCATTGTTACAAAGATCTGGTACCCTAAGACAGCCAGACACAGAGTACATACAAAGCACTGGGAGCATCCCAACACCTTGGGACAACAGAGCTGCCTGCCTCCTGCACACACCTGCTGCCCCACAGCCTGGAGGGCCTCCAGCCTGCAGACACCTGGGAAGTCTGCACCGGGGAGAACAGAACCAGCTGCTGCCTTCCTAACTCCTGGGGCCAAAGGGAAGTTGGTTCCCCACAGGAAGATAAACCCAACCTGGAGCTCAGCCCTGAGTGGCACCCACAAGAGAGCAGCTTGCGGTGATTAAGCACCCACAGCATGAGGTCTGGGGGCTTGCTCTCACTGCCCCCACTGGCATTACAGACTAGATGCGACCAGGTGGGGTGCTTGGCCTTTGTGAGACCCTTTTCTGGAACAGGTGGCCCTGGCACCTACCTTGTTTAGTGCCAGGCTGAAGGAAGGGGAGGATCTAGATGGGGTAGGCCCCTCCTCCCGACTCCAGCGTGTTGGAGTGGAGAAGGATCCTTTCTCAGGGTAGTTCGGCTCCACTGCACGCTTCTGCCCAAGTTTAGCACACAGATGGTGTGGCTGTAACAGCTGTGCACAGGGACTGCTGTCATCCCTTCTGCCCTCTGCACTGTTTTTCCATGAAGACAGTGAGTGCTGCTGCCCAGAGGATGTCCCTGCCAGCCCCAGGTGTGCCAGCTGCTGCAGCTCATACTGACACACATCTACTACCCTTCTCTCCAAGGAAAGGAGTTTTTCCTTATTCCCCTTCCTCCCAAGGGTGGGTTTCCTTCTTAGTCTGGAAGCTCTCTCAGCCTCCTCAGCACACTTTCTCTGGCAAGAAGCTATTCCCAGCCCCTCACATTTCTTTTCTGCTTTTCTTCTGCTCGGGCAGGGGGATCTTTCAGTTGCACGTTTGGTTTTCACCCCTTGCAGGTGACCTTCCCCTGGGTCTTCTGCCGTGGAACGTCTGGGGAAAAGGGGGGAGTTCTGGTCTTGTTCTGCTCCCCTGGTCTCTCCCACTGAGCGCAAGTGGATAGGACTCAGCACCCGCTGGGTAATCTCATCCAGGAATTTGGAGAACTGCAGTTTTTCCTCTGTGATCTTCTCCCTGCGCTTGACAGGGTCAGCGGCGCTGCTGCTGCACTCCAGCGAGCGCTTCTCCCTACGGCCAAGGCAGAGCTGAGGGTCACTGTACTTGCGTGAGCCACGGCCACGGGAGAGCGTCTCTACTGAACGGGACTTGTGTAAGTTCTCGGGGCATGGGCCCGTCACACTGGTCTGCTTCAGGATCCCTTTGAGAGGCAGGCGTTTAGAGGAGACGCGAAACTTCCTCGGTGTCAGGACTTCAGGAGGCTCTTTAAACATAAGCGAGCGTTCCAGACTTCTGCTCTTGAAAGAGCAAGTGGGATGGCGTTTTTCATCTCCAGACACAACTGTCTCCATGCTACGGCTCACAAATCTACCGAGGTGCCCACGACTGCGGTTTGGGCACCGCTTCCCGCTTCGCTGCCCCATCTTCCCGCCACGTGGAAGTGCTGGTGAGACAGTCTGGCTCTTGATGTTCAACTCTCCTCTGCACCCTGTCACCTCCTTCTCACTGCTGGACTCCAGGGACCACGATGAGGAGAAGTTCAGGTTGCAAACCTCAAACCCCTCTGCCTGCTTGAGCTGGCCTGCCTCGGTGTAACTAAACCCTGTTTGCTGGTGCAGTGGTGTTAAGCCCTTTGTCACGCGGCAAGCTGTTACCTGACTCTGCTCAGCCAAGATCACTCCATCCTGGTCGTCACGAATGATGGGTACCTCATGGCGGATCTCGCGATGCTGCGGGGGTGCCTTGCGGTAAGGCTTCTTTGATGGAGCTGCGCTCGACATCCTCCCACCTCCGTGGCTCTGAAAGCAGGTTACCTACCAACAGCAGAAAGTGCACAGAAGAGAGAGTCACAGGTGCTCCTTTTTTTGCAGGAATTCGTCTCCCCTGGAGTCCCAGAGCAGGTCCCCATGCAGAGTGCTAATAGAGTAGGCAAAGGATGTGGCCACAAGCCTTGAGCAGCAGCTGCAGGAGAGGGAGCAAAGCAAGAGGTAGCTGTGTCCTTCTCCCAGGCAGTGAGAGCAGAGGGCTGGCACATCCTCTCCCCCCCTTTACACACGCTCACTCACGTAGTTTGTGTGTGTCCAGATTATATATAGCAAACGAGAACAGACCTCACAGCAGCATATTGATTAGGCTCTTTAGGAAAGGCCTTTTCCAATATGGAAACTGCAAGCCTTACAGGCAGCAGTGACAGCTGGAGCAGGAGTTATCGATCATGTGCTGTCACTGTCAGCAGGGACTATGTGGGAGGAGACTCCAGCCATTAAAGAGCCCAGACCCAGAAGTTTTTATCTTACACTGGAACCCCGATGGAGCAGACCACGGGAGGCTAGCCAGGGGGAGGTACCATACCATTACAACTGCTCACTCTGTCAGAAAAGACAAAGAACACCCCCAAGTCACAGATGGCATCAAATTAGGGAGCAATGCCAGATTTTCCAGCGTGCAGGAGTTCTGCTAGTGGAAAGATCAGATTAGCTCCTTTCCCCCAGGTGTGCTGTGCAGGATTCTTCCTGCTGCAGGAGTGCAGCAGTACAAGTGCAAAAAATGAGGTAGAAGGAAAGCAGCTATCTTGTACACACGGAAGAAACGCCTTCCTTCCCACCACTTTGGGACTGCAGTGGAGGGCACGAGGACTTCCTCCCAAGCAGCCAGGATTCCAACTGCCCTAATTGTACACATGACAAGAAGTCTCAGAGACACCAAGCAGCCCCTGCAGAGCCTGATACCAGGCTTTCCCCAATGGCAACACATGCATCGTTCATAGATTCCCTATATTTGGGGTAAGCGCCTACTTCTCATTCCCCTTTCCCTTGCTGGATCCTAACTCTGATCAGGCCTAGCATCTCTGCAATCTTCAGCACCTCACCCGCAGCATTTCAGGTACAGGGCCTGCCTCAACTCAGATCACGCTGTCCAATTCTTATCCACTCTTACCTATCTGTATCTTCTTGACACTTAGACTGAGTCCCCTGGGAAGACTGGCAAGTGTGAGGTGTCTTCACCAAGTACAGAGTGGCTCCAAGCCACAACAGGCTTTGCACTTCACAGGAACATTTGCAAGCTGTCCTCCACGCTGCTAAAAACACATACTCATGCCTTGAATTTCTCATGCCTTTCCACAGACATGAACACCTTCCTAGGACTAACCTGTAAATCTCCACCATCAGAATGCTGGAAACTCCTCCTTGCTGCAGTCAATCCCTCAAGGTCCCTTCTACTAAAAAGACTCAAGCAGGTGAAGAGATCTCTAATACTTCAGAAAAATCATATCCAGCAAACCAAATGCACATTCCACTGCATCCCCAAGCAAAACAGATGCGTCTGACTTGCTGGGAAGACATTTCTCTTCTTTGAAGAGGAATGCTGAAATCCTGACCAAAAGCAGGTTTGTCAACACCCCACCATCAAACAGATGATCTATGGGACTCTTCTGTTAATTCCTGCCAGACTAAGGACAAGAGAAGTGCATGGAGATCAAGCTGAAATCACAATTATTTCTCTAGCCCACAAGGACCTGATCACTTACCAGCCTGGACTCAAATTCGAAGCCCCATGAAGCAAGGATACTCACTCAGATGCCCTAAAGAAGAGAAACAAATAGATTAGCATCCATCAAAACAGTCAGTTGGAAATCTCACCCCATAAATACGTAAGCAATAGGGAATGTTTATAACCAAGGACAATTGGATGGGTCATCTCACTCCAGGTACCTGCCCCAACCCACATCAGATCTGAAAGTAAATGAAATCAGGATGGGAAAGTCATCTGGCAAGGACATGTCCAAGACACTCAGGCAGCTGGGACCACACAAACTCAAAACTCATGATGCAATAGCTTCAAGGGAAGCTTGGTTCCAGCAAGGACTAAACAAACCTCCTGTGAGATGGGACCCTCCCAGATAATCTCCCCCGCTACTGCAGAGGAATACTAACTGTGAAGCCTTTGGTTCAGAGGCTTGGTAACACTAACAATTACCTCACTCATCCTTTTAAGTCAGTGCTGCTCACCTACAAATGAGCCAGCAATTATCAGACTCTTGTTCAAGCCAAAGCATTACATCCTTGTGCCTACAGCTGTGATAACCCACGCCTCCACATGAGAGGAAGGCAGGCTGCTTTGACTTCTAGCAAGCAGCATGCCATGCTCTGCCTTGCTGCTAACAGGCTCTGTAAAATAGGGATACAACGCAGCTTCAGAAAGAACCTTCCTCTCTGTTCAAAGCCGAAGGTATCCATCACACAAAGAAGAGAATTGGGTTGACCTGGGAGCCAGCTGTAGGAGCGTAGCTCTGCAGCTATCAGTCTGCCACGGGCACGAGGGAGACTGCAGTGGAGCCTCCCCTTCCCTGATGCACTTCTATGGCTGTGCTGCTTTCTCCCTGTCAATGGCACCAAGCCCTGGGAGGCGGGACAGGAGCGCAGGGTGTGGAGCAGTTGTAGCACGGGGAGAGCCAGACTGAAGGTGAATGGAACAAGCAGGTAACCAGGACCATGCAAACTCAAGCTTTGCCAAAACAAACCAAAGAGGTGCCCTAGTGCTGGCCCTGCCTCAACAAGCTGTCTGGCCCCTTTCCTTACTACAAAACTGTAGTCGGGTCTCAACTAGCACAGGACAAAACAGCTTCACAACAGCATAACTGCTCTGCAGGGCAAAGCTGTAAAGTACGGGAGGAAGAGAGAGAGGGAGAATGTGCACCTCCAGGAAGAACTAGGCCATCAAAGTTTGAATCTGCTTTTCCACCAGCTCACAGCAGGAGCTGGTTCAGCATCAAGGCAAAACCATGAGCCACACAGGCTGGCAGGCAAGTGGAGGCTTCCAGGAACAGCTGCACCCATGGTGCAGCTACCACGCTGGTAGCTCCATGTTAGCATTACCATGTTTCCACTGCAGAGGTGCTCTGAACAAACACGCCAAAGGCCTCCCTGTCTCTCAGCACAGTTCCTCAGGCTCAAACGGGACTGTCCTGCTTCCTAACCCAGAGCCAGCAACTATGCGACCTGCCATCTCATCCCACCTACCTGGAAAAAGATACCGGGATTTGAAACCTACCCTCATCATCTGAGAATTTCCAGAGACACTTAAATACTCACAGTGCCTCCAGGCAATTTTCCTCCAAACATGGACTTACAGATCCAAAGCGACGATGTGTCCAAACATTTCTGGCCACTTGTCTCCGAATCAGCTTTCCCCTGTCAGCATCCAGCACCATCTGGCCAACAGCTCCTGAAACATGAGAAAGGAAACTTGTTGTCAGTCACCTATCAGCACACATGGAAACAGCCAGGCACGCGCAGGGCAACCCACAGCCAGGTGCCAGGGCAGGAGCTGGCAGCAAACTGCTGCACCATCAGGCTACAATCTAATGCCAGGACCCACTAGTCAAATAAGCTCCTTGTCTTCACTGTGTCCCAGAAAAAGAAGGTCTTTTAATCGTGTCTCTACTGAGCAGGATTCCTGTGCAGACCAGTAACTGACCTCTGAAAGGCAGCTGTTTTTTCTAGATGGCTCTAGGACTCACTGCTTCCCTACCTGCATTCCTGTCCAACACCAGGAATCCAGCCTCTGTCCTTTTGCTCCAACCACCCTGCCACACCAACCTAACAGTGTTCTGCAGACTTCCCTGCATTGAACAGCACAGTTAAGCCCTCCTTGCCTACAGTACCTGGGCATCCTTTGCTACCAGACCGAAAATCCCCAGGTGGCTCAATTCGCCACACCTCTGAAGAGAGAGGAGCAGATACTTTGTGCAGAACCGAGGGACCTTGTGCTCCAGAGCAGAAATGGATACAGGTAATATCCAGAAAAAGAAGGCGGCACTAATTCTGCTCACCACACTATTCACAAGCCTCTCTCTGAAGGAGCTTGCTGTCAAGTCCACATTCTAACTACCCTGGAGAAGCTCAGCTTTAGCCTGGAACTACAGCAGGAGGCAGCTCTTCAGCTACTGTAATTAGCAATGTAATACAAGAGGAAACTTAAACTCCTGGCCCCTTTTATCTGCCCTTTCCATCTCTCATCAGTAACATTCCTTAACATTTACATTTACAGGCCTCTTCCTAGCAGGCTATCGCCTGCAGTAGCTCCAATTCTACTGTCTTCTAGCTACTACCCACTGTAGTTCCAGTCTCATTTCAAAGTTCACTGACAGCTCTAGCTCCACTGGAACAGCTCATCGAGGGCTACGAGGCTTGGGCTCACACTGATCAGCATCAGCAATGGTCACCTCTTCCAGGCAAACGACATGAACGCACGAAGGGTCAGACGACTGCAGTGGAAACCTAACAATTTGCTTTGTTAATGCAAAAAGCTGAGGATTTCTCCACATCCCACAAAGACAAAACACATAACCTCTTTCCTCTTCACAGTGAGGGACCACAGTGATGTAATACAGCTGCACAGGCAGTATACAAGCTTGACTCTGGCTGTTTTTACCAGAGAGCATCCCTCATTGTAAAATCTGCCCTTTCCACTTACAGAGTAGCTATGTTCTCTGTGTGATCTGAGAAAGACAAAGTATTTACCCCACACCAGGAACAGATGTGATCTAGCACACAATTGTTTAGACTATTCTGTGCAGGGCCCACAGAACCAACAGGCACTTGGCACGCATGCAAAACCACACCACCACCCATTCTGTTTGCATGACTTTGTCTCTAGTAACAAGAAACAGGTCCATAACACACACAAAAATATCCAAAAAGGAACTCTTTGGACAAAAGGGGAAAACACTGAAGGGAAAAAAATGACATCTGTAGACACTTACTGTCTTCCTGATACTCAGCAAGTCCTTCGAGGCCTGAGGTAGCTAATACTTAGCTTTGGCTCTAAGATGTACACAGTTTCTGCCTGCTTGCTACAGCTGGACATTCACTGCAATGGGACAGAGGACTTGCACGGTTTTCCTCATCATCACCTTGTCTTGTGTTGCCTTTTCTGACCCTATAAAACAGCCAGCTTAACCAGTGTTCAGGCTCAGCAGTCTCCATTCCTCAACAGAGAAATAGTGATTATGTTGCAGAGAAAGTACCTTCTTTCAGGCGCTGTGTTATCTTTCCAGCCTTTCTCTTTTAAAAGCAGCATTTCGTTAAGCCTGCTCTTTATTCCAGAAGATAAACTTGTATGACAGAGAAAGTACATTCCATAACACAATCACAGCCATGTTTGTTTCTAATGAAACACTGAGGAAACATTCATTGGCTATCACTGAGTCAGAGTACTCCAAAAAACTCCAATACCTACACAATTGTTACACAATGCCCAGGTGTAACAAAACTGCTGCTACTGTCCTGTGTCTTGCAGGAGGATTGAGAGACACAGGTTTCGATGATTTCTCAGGGTTTGACCTTCAAGATATGAGCCTGTATCTCTGAAGCAAGTAAAACAAAATAAAGAGAAAGTAAAAAGAGCCGACGTGGCATAAGGCAAGCATGAGAACCTGACCGCTTGACAGTAAGCAAGGAAGTTAGCGGATAAGAAGTAACAAATCATATTAATTAGCAAGGCGCATGGACAGAGTATACTAACCAATAAGGCTTTTGCTTATGGCATGTGTATCTGTGTGAGGTGTATATAAGCAAGTGTATTGGAGCAATAAAGGGTCTCTGATTCACCCTCTATCAGAGTCCGTGCATCCACCCGCTGCAAATGGCGCCCGAACAGGGACCTGAAAGTCTACAGGCCTGAATCACGGGGAAAAGAGCGACCGGCGGCAGAGACTGGCTGAACGCATTGACCAGCGGTGAAGAGCTGAAGAGTCTGGCTGAGCAATCACCTTGATCACACATGAGCAGCCAGGGATGATGGAGGCTACTATGTCAGCAGAGGAAAAATCAGGGGTGAGTATATTTAAGAAAATTTTGGAGAAACGGGGCATCCGATATGACGAGACAAAATTACGAATGCTTTTAGCTTGGCTAAAAGGCTGGGAGGTTGCCCCAGACGTGACTACGGTCTTTGAGGTGGCAACGTGGGAAAAGGCAGTTTTATGGGATGCAGTGACTGAAGGTGACTCAAGTGCTACGGGGCTCCTGATGACCTGGAGACTGATAGTGACTTTTTAAAACAGTTAAGAGCGGACCGTGCTACTGCTGCTGTTGCAGAAGCCGCTACTAAGCCCGCGACATCTGACGGTGCGACTGCCTGTGAGGCAGCCGGCGCAACACCTACTGCACCCCCTGATCCTGACTCTCAAGATCTCCTCTTACCAGACTCGCCACCTCCACCTCCATCTCTACCAACCACCACCTCTAAGAGAACAGAACGGGACCACATGGGATTTTGACCCTAAAAACCACTGGCAGGATCTAAGGAAGCAGGCAGAAAAGGCTGGAGATCATGAAATGGCAGCACTGATAGCTTGCCCTGTGTTCCGAAACGCTCAAGGGCAAGCTGATTGGCAAGGCTTGCCATTTGGCCTGGTTAAAGAATTCCGAAAGAATGTCATGGATTATGGTATCAGTTCGCCTTATGTACAGAGCTTATTACAAACTGTGTTTTTTAGTTATGAGTTAACACTGGTCGATATTAAGAAAATTGTGACTTTAATTTTTACACCTACCCAAAAAGTCATGTTTGAATCACACTGGAGA